CAGCCCCCCGGGGGTACGTGTCCCACACCGTCCTCCGGCGCAGGCAGCAGCCGCCCGCCGAGGGCCGTGGTGTGGGCTGGCATCGGGGGAGCCCGGGCCCCTGCCAGGCAGCGCCGCGTCCCTCCCCCGCCCCGAGCGGTGTCCTGGCCAGGGCGGGGTGGCGCTGGGCTCCCGTCACAGGGTTGGGGCACCTCGGAGCCGCGGTGTGGCAGGCCTTCCCAACGGGCCTGCCGAGGCCTTTGGATGGAAAGAAGATCTTAAGGCCTCCCTGTTCTACCGGCCTGCTCAGCCTTCGGCAGCTGCAGTTCTCCGTGGCCAGCCGCTGCTTGCCGCTACCTCCCAAAGGGCTGGGTGTCCCTCTTCCCCACGGCTCAACCCCCTGGGTTTCCCCATCGTTGGCGTTACTTCTGCCATTGTCGCCTTACACTCAACCTGCCCTGCAAAACAGCCCTGCTAATATAGTTATGGGGCAACCTCAGGCTTTCTTACAGTCCAGATTTTACATTTCAGGCAGGCTCCCCATCCCCCCAGTGCCTGTGGGATGGAGACGGAGCTGGCAAACCCTTGGGTGGATGAGGATGCTGCAGGGTCTCCCTGCCAGCACCTGGACTGGGCAGCAAGAGGAAGGGATGAGCCAAGCTCAGCCACGGACAGGTCTGGAGGGTTTTGGGGGGTGTGAATGAGGGGGGTATTGGTCCTTGGCCCTGGGACTGTGAGCTGTGAGTGGAGCTGCCCTGTGCCTGGCTCTGAGAGGTGCAGGAGGGCTGGCAGCCTCCTCCTCGCCCCACGGGTGCTGGGTGTTGCGGCACTGGGGCCAGTTACTTGCGTTTATGATGTCCTGGTGTCATAGAGATGTGCTGAGCACCCTCAGGAGGAAGTCCAAGCATGGCTGCAAAGGGTGCAGGGGCTCTGGCCTCACGCCCAGCGGGCTCACAGGCGTGTACTGAGCTATATGTGACCACTGGGGCTTGGGCGGGGTATAGCAACAGCCCAGGAGTAGGGCAACAGGAAGTGGCTTGTGACTTGCTTTCGTTTTTGCCCCAGCGGAACAGACTTTCGCGGCTCCTTTGGCAGGCCCGGGGACTGAGGGGTGATGGCAGGTAAGTACAACCAGCGGTGCTGGGTCTCAGTGGTGGGACAGGGTCCTGCTCGCTGGGTCCTGCTCGCCGGGTCCTGCCTGGGTCCTGCCCGATGCACAGGGACACAGTGCAGCATGTGGCCTGGGGCCCAGGACACTCCATGCCTGAGTCACTGGGGCCCTGCTTCTTGCAAATGCATCCCGTGGGGCACTTTCTGCGGGTGTGTGGGAAAAGGGAAGGTGGGCAATGGCAGGGAAAGCCCCCTGGGTGGGCAGTGAAGGAGGGAGCAGCACACCTGGGTGGGCAATGGGGGAGGGGGAGCACCCAGGGTGGATGGTGGGGGAGGGATCAGCAGCTGGGGAGGGGGCAATACGGAAGGGGGCAGCACCCAGAGAAGGTGATGGGGAAGGGGGAGCAGCTAGAAGGGTGATGGGGAAGGGATCAGCACCCAGGGGAGGAGATGGGGAAAAGGAAGCGGGGGGGGCGGGGGGAAGCGGGAGCCATGGCATGGGGGCTCTGGCATTGATGGGGCTGCCCTGCAGATGAGCTGCTCATGAAGGTGCGGCCAGCCTTTGTGGAGCGTGTGAGCAAGCCGCTGATCTCTAGACTGCTGGATGAGCTGCTGGCCCAAGGGGTGCTGAGCCTCGAGGAGGTGGATGAAGTGCAGGATAGATACGTGGTGCGCACCGACAAGGCTCGCTGCCTCATTGACACTGTGCGCCTGAAGGGCCCCAAGGCTAGCCAGATCTTCATCAACAACCTCAGGAAGCACGATGGCACCTTGGCAGAGCAGCTGGGTCTGGCTGCTGACTCGGGTGAGAGATTCAGGGCCGTGGTCTGCCCCCGGCCACGCTGGGGCTCCCGGTGCCTCTGGCGGGATGCTAGAGGGAGACCTGGCCCTGGCAAGTGTCCGAGGCCTGAAGGCAAGTGGCTGTTGGGTGTCATCAGTGTCACTGCTCTGTGGCACTGAGGCCCCCTTGCCACGCAGTGACAACAGGACTCTCAGGGGTGGCTGTCCCCCCTGGGGCTGAACAGAGCCCCCCAAGGGGCAGAGCCCAGCTCCGCTCACCTTCCCATGCCCTGCAACAGCCCCCTCTTGCTGCAGGCGCTTCCCCGTGTAACTGTGGGGCTTTCTGCTTGCAGGGCCTCCCGGTGCGCAGCTGGCCTCCCCCAGCACTGAGGCCCCCCTTGGGCCCCCCATCAGCATCCATGGCCAGCAGTGGATCCGGCAGTGCTCCCTGAGCGAGTACCAGCGCATCAGGGACACAGAAGGAGACCAGGTGCTGCAGGCAGAGGAGATGAGAGGAGGGCTGGAACGTGGCCTGGCTGCCCTGCCGGAGAGGGCAGGGGCTTGCTGAGGGGAGCCAGGGTCTTTGCTGACCAAGGAGCAGGGCAGGAGATGTGGGGAGATGGCCCAAGGACAGGGAGAAGTCGTTGCTGCACCTGTGGGCCTTCTCTGCTATTAGCTGCCTCCCAAGAAAAGCCCCCTGCACCCACCCACCGCTGAGAGCTGCCTCCCTCTGTCCTCACAGATCTATCCCATCCATCTACCACGGGACACGCGAACCCGTAGGGCCCTGCTCATCTGCAACATTGAGTTTGAGCACTTGAGCCGGCGGGATGGGGCTGAAGTGGATGTAAAGGGGATGACAGAGCTGCTGGAAGGACTGGGCTACATAGTGGACATCCATTGCAACTTAACTTCCCAGGTAAAGGACTGCACAAAGCAGCTCCCACCAGTCCTGGGAGTGGTGCAGAGACCCTCCTTGCGAGTGTTAGTGATGGGGAGCTCAGGCACCACAGGGACACCTCTGTCCCCAATGGCAGTGGCTCCTGCCCACAGCTGGTGGCTGGGTCTCCACACAGGTGGTCATGGGAGGCTGATGTTCCTTCCTTATTTATGCTGGTTTGTAGGGGATGGCTACGGTCATGAAGGATTTTGCAGACCACAAAGACCACTGGACCTCTGACAGCACCTTCCTGGTCTTCATGTCCCATGGGGTCAGGGCTGGGCTCTGCGGGACCAAGAGCAGAGGCGAGACCACAGACATCCTTTCCCTTGACACCATCTATGAGAAATTCAACAACAAGCACTGCCGGGGACTGTTGGGCAAACCCAAACTGGTCATTATTCAGTCCTGCCGTGGAGGTGAGTCCCTGCTATGAGGTGCCTGTGAGGCAAGCAAGCTGGCCAGGCTCTCCCAGGGCTCTTCAGCCCTGAGCACAGGGTGGGGTCAGGACGGGACACCCCATCATCGCTGATGGCTGGCCCTCCCTTCCTAGACAAGGTAGGGCTCGTGATGGTGAGCGACTCCGCAGACCCTGCCATGCCCGCTTCCAGCTCAGCTCACACGATCCCTGCAGGGCTGGAAGATGACGCAATCTGTGAAGTCCACCTAGAGAGTGATTTCGCCACTTTACATTCCTCCACACCTGGTAAGCAGTTGCCCTGCTGGAGGGCAGGCCAGGAGAGGACTCCCATTCCCGATGCCATGGGTCTCCTCCACACCTCCTCCTCCTCCTCAGGGCGGGTTGCTGGGGGTCCCCTCCATCTGGTGACCGCTTGGGCATTGCTCCAACAGCCTCTGGAAAAGGCAGTGTCCACCAATGCCAGGGTACAATGCTGCTCCAGGACACCCACACATCCCTCTTAGAGGCAGCACCAGGGCCCAGGGCTGTGTGCCCCTGCCTGGCTGCCTTCCCTTGGCTCCAGCCCTCCCCACCAGCTCTGCCTGCACTCCTCCCCCAGCCAATTTATCTCACCACAGTGGCTGGCTGGGGGAATTATCTTCTCCTGCTGGGTTACAGATGGCTCCAGGCCATGCCAGCCTGGCAGCTGGCATGGCTGGGAGCATGGGAGAGCAGAGAGGCTTGAAGAAAATACATCCCTTCTGTCTTCCCTGAAATGCCCTGTCCTTTTCCCATGCTGTGGGTTTAATGGGCCAAATATAATGATTTCAGAGAAGATGCCCATCTCCCGCTCCAGCACTCAGCGTTCATCACTGTTGCAGTGAAGGACACCAGTGGAATCACACTTGGCATCTTCTGTCTCCCCAGATACTGTCTCCTGGAGAAGCCCAAAAACAGGCTCCATTTTCATCCAGCGCCTGATAGAGCAGTTTCGAAACCATGCCTGTAACAGTGACTTACAGGAGCTCTTCCGAAAGGTGCGGCTTTGTAGTTAAGTGCAGGTGTGCCAGCAGATGCAACCATGCCAATGGCCAGAAATACTGCTCAGAGCAGAGCTCGGGCCAGGGCATGCCATTTCTCGGCAGGCCTCTTGGGAGCAGGCTCTGTCAAAAAGGGATCTGGTTTGGCCTGGGAAGTCAGCTGGATCTCTGGAGCCATCAGCACCCTGCCATGTTGTGGGCACGGCACGCAAGAGCCCGGCCTGTTGGCACAGCCCACGGCATCCCTTGTGCCACCAGAAACGTGCCTGGGGATGTCCCTGGGGATGCCTCATGACTCCCTGCACCCTTCCCATGCTGGGAATGGAGCTGCTTTCATTTCTCTCTACTATCTCTCTCACCCCAGGTCCAATATTCCTTTGGAAAATTCCCTCAGCAGTTGCCATCACAAGAACGGACTACAATGCTCAGGAAGTTCTACCTCTTCCCAGGCTGCTGATCTCCTTGCCCATGGTGAGTCTCTTTACCTCACACCTCTGCGGCAGCCTTTTGTCTGTGCCCTACACCTGGTACCCAGCCAGCGGGGAGGAGCAGGGAGAAATTCCCTATTGTTCCTGGGCTCCAGACTTTGTGGATCAGATAGGATATCCAAAGGACTTGTGTGCTGGTAGCCGGGGCTGGGCTGTGGCCTGATGAAGTGTAGGGATTGTGGAAAACGAAAAGGAAAGAAAGAAGACAGAGAGAGAAAAAGGAAGAGAGAAGATTTCACTGGTCCTGGGTCCAGCGTTGGTTCAGTCAGCCGAGGAGTCCAGTTCCAGTGGACTTGCGCACCTGGAGCTTCAGTTTGTGTCCTTTTATCATCCTTGCCCCTCCTTTGGGTGGGCACTCGAACTCATTAGGCTAATGAGCAGTTTGTGAGCCTTTGGGCTTGGGGGTCGTTTGGGGAATAACTTCTCCTTCCCTGCAGACTCTGCCATTGTTTGATCTTTGTATCAGAACAGCTTATCAGAACAGGGACCGGCACACCCTCCAGCACATCCTCCCCCTCCTGTTGCTGATGTCTGAACTGATGGGCTTTTCACCTTGGTTCCTTGCTGCTGCAGGGTTTGTTGTTATGCAGAGTTCATCTTTAAGCAGAACTTGCCCCACCACAATGTTTGAGATATTAACTCTTTCAGTCTCTCACACCTCCCAGCTGGCCGTAGGAAAGACAGGTACTCAAGCAACGCGTTTCAGTAGCCTGTGTCTCAGGAGCTTCTCGGTCTAATGTTCTTCGCAGGTGAAAAAATAATACACAGACAGCAAAAGTGTTTGAATTTGGGGTAACACAGCAGAAAGCTCAAGTTCAAGGTGAACACAGCCCTGTTCCAGAGAGAAAGGACAAGAGGAAAAGCCAAGCAGCTCTGCAGAAACACAGTCAATCTCTAAACCAGCTACTTGTACCTCCTCTGCTAGGCAATTACAGACCTGGAATAAAATATTCCTTGATCTCCTGTCCTCCCTTCCTTTTGTGGCCTCCAAACAACCCCAAACTGAGCCAACTCTTGCCAGGGAGCAGCAGAGACACCTGACTCTGGAGCACCAAATGCAAAGCTGGTTAGTGTCTCTTAACTGTTCCCAGACAGTTGGTCCCCAGTTGCAACAGATGATCCATCACCCCCAGAGCCACTTCCACCCCATCTCTGGCTTTACCTGTTGTCGAATAAAGGGATTTTCACAGCAGACGGCACTGCTCCTCTGCCTTTAGCCTGACTGGCAGTAGCTGCTGTTACATTGCCTTCTCAGGGGATGCTGAGTAGGTGGGAGGTGAGAAATGAGGGGGACCTCAGGGAGGAGGGGACGCCCACTTTCAGGGCAGGCTGGGCAGGTGCGCTCCAGGGGGATTTCCATGCCTCACCCTTGCAGGCTCGCAGCATCTCCTTGCTCACAAGGCAGCTTCCCCCACTCCCCGATCCTCCTGCTGCCCCCAAGGTGGAGGAAGGACGTGAATCCTCCTGGGAGCCAAGAAAGATCCTCAAACCTGTGTCTTAACGTGCGCTGCTCCCACAGCTCGGCACGTTACAGGCCCAGTTCAGTTGTTACCTTCCACCAGCATCCCCGCTGGTAAGCGAGAGCGCCTTCCTGTGCCCACCGCCACCCTCCCTGTCCTCTGCAGCCACATCCAAACCATATTCTGCCTTGGCATGGATTCAGCTTTATTGCATGTTCTGCAAAGTCATAGCCAGATCCACAACCAGGTGGTCTGGCAGCAGGAAAAAGAGAGGGCTCTCCTGCCCCCTCACAGTGTTTGAGACACTCCAGCTCAGGCGGGCCAGGCTGCGCAGGAAGGGCAGTGTCCTGGGCCACTGCCACCCCACATCCCTGTGAGGTGGCAGGAGAGCTCAGTGGGATGGAGGTGCCACTCTGCTCCGGCTCCAGGCAACCCAGGGTGAGAGAAGGCTTTGCAGGCAGGATCAGACTGCAAAGTGGGCAGCCGGTCCAGGCCAAGCCCCTTCTCACAGAGCCCCACATCACTGCCCGGGGCTCCTCAGGTCCCACACGGTGCTTGCAGAAACCCTAGTCCCCAGCGCTATGGTGGTGGCAGGAAATTGAAGACAGCAGTGATGAATTCTTCAAATTTATCCTGATGGACTATGTGGCCTGCACCTTCGATGTACTGGACCTCCGCCTTGGGGAAGAGGCGCTGGATCTCCGGGTAGTGTTTGGAGCTGCAGGACAAGGGAACATGCGATGGGAAGTATGGTCAGAGGTCCATCCATCCAGGTGTCTCTCCTCACTCTCCCCAGGCAGATAGGGATCCTGCAACTGACCATGTCCCCTTCCCTGCTGGGAAAGCCAAGGGCTGCCCCCAGGTTCCCTCTCGCTCTCCAGCACGTTGGTGTCACCAGCTGCTGGAGGCACAGAGCTCGCTCCAGGACCTTCCCCATCTCAGGGCTTTCCTCCCACCCTTGGCAGCTGCAGAAGAGCACAAGGGGTCAAACCACAGAGTTCAAACCGCTTCTCCCCAGTCCCACCTGATGTAGGGAGAGTTGGATCCTCCCAAGAAGAGTGCAGGGCCAGGATACGGCTTGTGGAAGGTGGGGAAGTTCGTAATATCTGCCAAGTGGTGGGAAATAGCCTCCAGGTTCACCCTCCAGATGTAGCGGCCCTCCACCTCCACCAGGTTGGTGAGGAGGAACTGTCTCAGCTGCGGGAGCTGCCACAAAAGGGTATTGTACACTCTTCTGTAAGAGCAACAAGCCCTCAAGATGTCCTGGCACCCTCCATCCTCCCCTCCACCCCCTTCTGCCCATCTCCCATGCTGTCACATTCCTCATCACCCCTGCAACCCTGGTGAGATGTCCTCCAGCTGCCCACGAAGTGGCGAGTGAGCAAGGATGGAAAGAATCTTGTGGCCCTAAAGCCCTGTGCTCTGGTCCCAGGGACAGGCTGGGAGTGGAAACCCCATCCAAGGAGTGGGATTTCCTACCTGGACCACTGGACGCAGCTGATCATCAGCCAGCTGGCGGGCCACAGAGCGGGGCAGACCATCCGGGATCTTCAGTGACTTCATGGCAGAGATGTAGGCAGAGAATTCGGAGACTGGTGCAGCTGAGATGGGACTGATGTCTACAGAGATGAGGCGCTCCACCAGGTCTGGCTGGGGGCATAAGCGGGGCAGATGGATGCCAGCCGAGATCTCCCCAGTGGGACTGGGCACGGGGCTCTGCTCCCACCCAGACTCCCTGAAGGCTTTTAGCTCCCTCCTGCCTCAGCAGAGAGCTCCACGTGCCCCTCCCCAAGTTCCTATTTCCCTGTGCCTTGGCATGGGAGATCTCCAAGCTCCCTCGCCATCAGTGCCGGAGGGACAGGGCAGAGCGTGGGCTGGTGGACAGAGACTTGCTCCTGCTCCCACAACCCAGCTTACAGCTCTGAGCAGGACAGCACCCCCGCCCGTGGCGGAGAAAAGCCAGCTCCTGTGGGGCTGTGGGCAAGGCTGGCACCCGTGAACAGCCCCCACAGGTGCCAGCCCCCCTCCTACAGCCTCCCGCTCCAGGAGCACCCCGCCCCCCACCAGGTCCCCCCACCAGCCCCCGGGAGCCCCGCGCCTGCCGACCCGCTGCAAGGCCAGCGTCATGGCCGTCTTGCCCCCCATGCTGTGTCCCAGGAGGATGCACTTGGTGATGCCCAGGCGGGTCAGGAGGTGCTGCACGTCCAGGCTCATCGCTTCGTAGGTCATCAGCGGGCTGTGTGGGCTGCCGCCGTGATTCCGGGCGTCCAGCGCCAGCACCTGCCCGGGCAGGGGCACCGTGTCACCCCAGCCCCGGGCACTGCCCGCCCGTGACCCCCCTCCTCGGGGCGCTGCAGCCTCCCGCCGGCCCCAGGGCCTCACCTTGCCGCTGCCGCGGCGCACCAGCGCCCTGGCCACCGCCTGGAAGTTGCTGTGGTTGCCGAAGAGCCCGTGGAGCAGCACCAGGGGCGGCCGGTCCCCGCGGCCCCCCACCTCCGCGTGGGCCAGCTGCACCGCTCTGCCGGGGACAGGGTGGCATGGGGGCGTGGCCGGGGATGCGGGGGAGAAGGGGGCGTGGTCGGGGATGGGGGCGTGGCCATGGCGGGGGGGTAGGGCCAAGGGCTGCCCTGCTGGCAAGGAGGGTGAAACGGCAGTGGGGGCTGGGGC